TGTTTGTTTGGAAATGTTGTGGTACGAATTTGACGTTCAACTTCTTCCCACAGGTTCTCGATAGGGTTGAGATCCGGTGATTGTGCTGGCCACTGCAGAACTCGGACATTGTTCTCCTGAAACCACCCCTGCACAAGACGAGAGGTGTGCTTGGGGTCATTGTCCTGTTGAAATACGAATCGCAAAGGCATTTCCCACTCAGCATAAGGCAACATTACATTTTGGAGTATGTCCCTGTATACCAATCGATCCATCGTCCCGTCTATGAAGTGCAATGGACCTACTCCAATCCATGAAAAGCAACCCCATAGAAACACACTTCCTCTTCCATGCTTTATGGTTGGTATAACATACTTTGGTTGAAACCTCGTATTAGTTGGACGTCTTACACGCCTCATTCCATCAGAATTGAAAATTTTATAACGAGTTTCGTCGCTAAATAAATTTTTTTCCCAGTCTTGAACTGTCCAATTTAGATGACGTTGTGCAAATTCGAGCCTGGCACGGCGATTTCTTTCAGAAACCAGCGGTTTCTTGGCTGGACGTCTGCTGTAAAGCTTTGCTTCAACTAATCTTCGTTGGACAGTCCTCGCACTTACTTCTAGTTCAGGAATTGCAGCAATTATTCTTGGTCCTGACAACCACGGATCTCTTTGGCAAACTCTTTTGATTCTCTTATCCATCCAAAATGTAGTTTTTCTAGGCCTTCCTGATTTTGGCATTTTTTCTACATGTCCACGTTCATTGAAACGTGAAATTATTTTGATACACTGTATTTTGGCAAAAGAAACTGCCTGGAAATGTCAACCAAACGCCTGCCTTCCAAGAAAGCGTCTACTACCATTTGTTTTAACTCCAGACAAATTGGTTTACCTTTTGGCATATTCAAATCTGTCAAAAAGACGAATAATCTTAATTTTTAACTCTATAAATATGTTTTCCATCTTACCTGAAACTCAAATCCCTTCTTTTTGGAAAAAATAAAAAAGTTGCTTTACTTTTGTCGCGCTAATAATGTGAATTGTTCAAATAAATTATTGCATACATTTTTGTTTGACGTTTGAAAACAATTGAATTTCGCCTATGACAGCAGTCAACTACAACCTTTTAAACTGGGATCATTTTAGCTTCCGTTATCAACAAGTGTATTTTTGATAGATAAATATTTTATTTTATAATAAGAGTTGCTCGACTTTTGTCCGATTGATCTAGCCCCCACCCGAATAAATACCTGTATATGTTTTAATGGGGTAATGCGGTTGCTCGAATTTTACTTGCGCTAGCCTGCGCTAGCTTTAAGGAAGCTTCATATATATTTTTGAAAAATTAAAAATCACTTGTAGGGGCTCATGATTTCTTTGTCCACCCTTTATGACAGCTACGATAGCTGCGCTAGCTATAACACAACCTGCGCTAGGCTGCGCTAGGTGTTACAAATGTGCGCCAGCATTTTTGAGAAGATCGAATAACTGGGGGGGGGGGGGGGCTAGCGTCACTCTAGCCCCCCCCCCCCCCCCCCCCGAATATAAAGCCACATATCTTTTGACCTGTAGCTGCGCTAGCTTTCGAAAAAGTTGCGCTAGGTTGCGCTAGCTCTGGAGAACGAGGGCTAGCGTTTTGGATAAAAATTATCAACTGGGGGGTGGGGCAGGTCCACTGAGCCTACTGAATTACTGATAGATAGTACGTCATCAATATAGAAATCTCGATCTATTACTTGAGCTGTTTGAGGGTTCGAGGATTCAGTTTTTAGTGCCAATTGTTTTATACATCGAGTGGCTAAGAATGGAGCACTTGCTGTCCCATACGTGACAGTGTGTAATGAAAAAGTCAACAGCTCATTTTTAGGGCGATTTCTCCCGAAAATAAGTTGTAAAGGTCTAAAATCCCCCTTCACAAAAATTTGCCTATACATTTTACAAATGTCAGCAGTGAAAACGTAGGCGAATCGAATGAGAATGGATAGTAGATCATCTTGGACAACTGGTCCGACCATTTGAATGCTATTGTAAGAATGTCCAGTTGAAGATAAAGCACTACTATTGAAGACAACACGAAGTTTTGTTGTATCACTGTCTTCTCTGAACACACCATGATGTGGTGAGTAATAACTTACTTGATTATCTGACGGTTCGAATTGGCTCCTGTGATTTAGATTTTTATATTCAGTCATAAAGTCAATGTACCATCGTCACCAAAAGTAACTGGGACAGCATCACATTAGCTCTTGTCCTATTATATGAATTTTATTGTCAAATATTTGTCAAACTATGAATTAAATGCATTGAAGTGAATGACAGTAGAATTAGTCCAGGAGATTATTATGTATTATTTGTGTCCCAGATACTTTTGGTGGCGATGGTACATGGATTTTAATTTTAAATTAGAAGAAAACTTTATCTCCAAGCTGAAAAATTGCCTTTTTTGTTGGTTCTTTCACTAGTATTGAAACCACAAAACGACCTGGGCTTCAATAAAAGGTATTTGAGAAATGTTTCTCAGCAAGAATCTCTTCGTTAGATGGGATAACTTCGGCGATCTCTTCCATTTCCCAGAACTTGGCCAGCTGACTTTAAATACATAATGTGTTTGTGAAGTGACATGAGGTGACCTTTGGAACTACTTTCAACTTTGTTATATTAACAGGACCTGATATGATCCAGCTCAGCTTAATGTGACTCCAAATTTCCTATACCTTTCACTGCAAAGTTGATCTCATATTTGGGAATTTTCAATTTGTCGGCAAAGTGACTGGAAATAAAGTTTGACATGGAACCGTTATCGAGTAAAACCCTACAAAGAAAATCAGTACCTTCATCATCTGAAACCTTCACCAGAGCGGTTGCGAGCAGAACTTGACCTGATGTTCCCTAATTACAACCACTGTAAACTGAAGTAGCTACTTGATCCTCCTGATTATTATCTGAACGTGAATTTTCCAGAAGTTTTCCACTACACTGTTTGCAGTGATTGTACTTGCAACCCTCCAAAGAATGACCACGCTGCAGACAGTTCAGACACAACTTCAGTTCCAAAACCTTATCCCGTCTTTAAGATGCTGTAAGAGAAAGAAATCCAGAACATTTATAAATTCCATGTGGTTTTTGACATAAATAGCAAGAGTATTTACTGTTGTGAACTTCATTCCCTGAAGAATTACCTGAAAATGCCTTGCTCTCTGGTTTACCTAGAGGTTTGTCAGGGGATTTAGGTTTAATTTTATGCATACTTAATTTTTCTAAGAAATCGGTTCTGCTTGATAAAAATGTTTTGAATTCATCAAGTGTAGGTAATTCCTGCTGCTCCCACTCTCTAAGTGATCCTGCATCTAACTTGTTGGCGACTAAGAATATTACTAAACGATCCCATGCCTTTGTCTGAATACGCAAATTTTCAAGACATGTCATAGAATGTCCGAAATAATTTTTCCACCGAGTTTGGTGGTGTAACAAATTTTTTTATAGAAGTTAGACATTGTTTTCAATTTTGTGGGTTGAATTTACCCCTTCATCCCCGACTTGGATACTTGATCTTTGAATATTTTAAATAGAATATAAAAAATAGTTTTTCCACCGAGTTTGGTGGTGTAACAAGTAAGATTTTTTTTTTGCAATTTAGAGCGTTGAACTTACCCCCTTGAAATTTTTTTTTTAATTTCAAGGGGTCATTCCCTTATTTGTTCTCACACTGAACCTGTTGCCATAAAGTATGATTTTTGAGAGGTATTCCTACTCGGCAATACATATACTCCAAGAGCCCAGAGCCGCCAGACACAACTTATTTTCTAAAGGACAGAATACGTTGGAGTGTGTAGCACTTATATTTACTATGAACGTATGTATACCCGCTAAGTTGGGTAGACGGCCAATTCACCTACACCAGGTGCGAAAGCTTAAAAAGTACTTTAAATTTTTTTCCAACGCTTGATATTTATACATGTTATTTGGGAGACTATTTCATAACTACGTGTGCTCAGCCAGACCAATCGCACCGGCCAAACATCCGCCCAGACGCAATAATAATTTTTCCGGGAGTGTTAGCGCGAGGATACTATGCATGCGTTTGAGAGTGAACGAGATATCTATGTCAACTGATTTCCCCTTCTTAAACTTACAGTCTACTCCAAGCTAAAGTAAAACCTTTATTCACAAATAACAGTTTCAGCTGTTATTATTATTTTCAATTGGCCGTCTACCCAACTTCGCGGGTATACATACGTTAATAGTACCTGTAAGTGCTACTCATTCCCACATATTCTGTCCTTTAGAAAATAAGTTGTGCCTGGCGGCTCTGGGCTCTTGGACTAATAACTTTTATCCATAAAAACAGTATTTAGGCATCGGCAGCGCTAAATTATAAAATAATTATCTCTTCACCCACATCTAATTTGTGAATATGTAATAACAATAGCTAGCAAAGTGCTTAGTAGGTACCTTAAGAAGAGTATTATTATATTTTTTTGTCTGAGATAATCACTGTTTTTTATTGCTGACTAAATTTTCATTCATAGTCCACGTTTCGGCAAGAAGACCCCTACCGAAACGTCTGCGAAAATTGAAATTTAGTCAGCAATAAAAAAAACTGGGTACAAATAAAACTCGTGAATTTCTTTTCACGCAAACACAAGTCATCTGGACGTGGTTATCCTGTTATCAAATTATTATTGTATTATTATTGCAGTTTGTTTTGAGAGACCGTATCATAGCCACATAGTGTGCAAAATAACGAATGTTTTCAACAAGTTTTATCTTTACTTTTTATTTTTGATGACTTTAATTAATGCAAAAGTTGGGTTTGATCTTCTAATATCACAACACAACACAGACATAACTCATAATTAATCAGCGCCAATTACCATTTTCGAATTAATTATATCCCTCATCGCGAAAATATGTTCTGTTCAAGGGTGGCGTAGGTCAGTTTTCAGCGCAAGCGTACTTCCAGCCGTTGAAAAAATCTGAGCGCCAAAACTGAAATCCCCCCAATCCCCAATCAGTCGACATACAACAAGCATCCCTCTCGCCGTGAATTCTACTCCCGATGAATCTGTTTACACGCGACTGGTTTTTCGCGAACTTTGTTTTATATTTTTCTTGTAATATATCCTATGCTGCTGTGGATTTTTTGGGAGCAGGTAAAATTTGCAATATTTAAATAAATTTTTGTTCAATAAAATAACACTAATAATTGTTTGACAAAAACAAGGAAGGGTATGCTTTGAAAGTAGATACAATCTGAGTATAAAGCCTTGGTACCTGAATACCTACACTATCTGCATTTATATTTTCAAAAACGGCTATACTTATCAGTAGGTACCTAGTGGATACTTTAAATAAAAAATGTGGGTTTACGCTTCAACCATTTACTTTCCCTGCTACCGGATACTTTTTCCAATCAAGTTAATATCCTGAAACTGACTTTACTTATTAAAACATTCAAATCGCTCAATCTGAATAAACATAACAACTTAGCTGTGAATTCAATCATCTTTCTTCTCTATAGTAAGGCAGCTCAAAGTTACCTCAAGAGTTCCTTTTGAATAAATTTTAATAACCTCTTTGATCCAACCCAAACTTCTGAAATATAGACAGTTCACCCACCTCTAATCAGTTTTAGATCCCTCGAATTCCAAGTTTAATGGAGAATTATTTATCTTGCCATTCCAGCATTTGGATGGCTATTTCAGGCCATCAAATGAGATGTCAAGTTCCAATTTTTCACCCTCTTTAGCAGATAAACCTGTATGTTTTTTTTTTTTCAAGTCGCTAATGGCTTCAAATAAGATTTGAATTGATTCACGATGCGTAATAAGATTTTTTTACGAGCGTGCGGAAAAGTACGCATTTAAGTTTGGAAAGTTTCACTTTTCCACACTAGTGCGGAAAAGTGACAGGTGTCACTTTTTAAATTATAAGCTGACACACTTACACAAATATCAGCATTGAGAATTATTGAAACAATGATGTTAATTAATAAATTATTTCGGTTTAAACTTAACTTTACAAACTAATTGTGTATTTGCTGAACGAACAACGAACGAACAATGCGTTTTTAATGCGTAGGTATTTCGAGTAAATGAAAAAACAGCAAAAATTATAGCAAAATGTTGCAAAGAGATTTTTTCAAGATTTGGGGTCCCTGATATTTTGTTTGCTGACAATAATTCCTATAATAGTACGTATTTAAAGGAGTTTGCGAAATCGTGGAACTTTTATTTAGAATTTTGTAGTCCCTATCATTACCAATCCAATGGCATGGCAGAGAAGTATGTAAACATTGCAAAAAATATGCTAAAAAAGATGAACAGTATTGATGAATTGCCAAATTTTTTGATGGAATATAGAAATACTTCTCTGTCAAACATTGGCTATGCTCCCGCTCAATTGTTATTAAATCGGCTTGTAAAGACAAAAATTCCGACACCTGAAAAAAATTTATTGCCCAGAATTATAGATAAAAGATATTGTAATTACAAGGCTAAAAGAAAATTCAGCGAGAGTGAAACAAAATTATGACAAAAGTGCAAAGGACTTACCGGTTTTTTGCAGCGGTGATGGAGTTCTTTTTCAAAAAAATGATCGTTGAAATAAAGGAGTAGTAGTGGATAATTATAATGATCGTTCTTACTTAATTAAAGAATGTAATGGCAATAAATTTAGGAGGAATCGGAAGTTAATTAATAGGACAAATATTCCTATTAATAGTACAGATTTGAATTTGCTTTATGATGACCTTTATATTAGTCATGATTCAGCCACGGATATTGATGTAGTATTGATGAATAACTCGTTACAGAGTAATAATACCTTTTCAGGGTCTGATTCAGATGAAGAAGACACAAGTGCAGCATTTGAAAACTTGTCCGATTCAGATGAAGAAGACACAAGTGCAGCATTTGAAAACTTGGCGAATAAGCCAAATATCCAAAGTACCTTTATTGAATATCAAGATGAAAATATACTGAGTACAGACTTTGGTAATGCATCAAACAGTAATATCGGTAGTGTTAGGGGCTCTAACTGAGGTGTCAACATTTAATTTAGGGATAGATCACTGGATCATAAAGGGGATGGGAATGTCACTGCTAAATAATGCACTCACACTTCCAGTTTTATATCTCTCTATTGTTGCCAAAATAATCGTTTAATAAAGTAATAAATACTGTAACCACATTCAAGTACTTTTAAATATTCACAGGTTAGTTAACAAGTCGCATTTGAGTTATTCGAGAACATTCACTAATCGGTATAAATTCACTAGTTGTAAGTGCTCAATAGTCAATTTAACAATAATTGTCAGTATTAGCGGAACGCTAATATTTTAGTTGAGAGCACAAGATAAAGTTTATTCTTAATAGAAATCTTCGGGAGTTGAGAGTTTTTATATTTTTAGAGAGCCCTTAAAAAAGGGGAGTGTGATTAACTCAATGTTTTACGCGATATTATATCACTTGAGTTTTCAAGCCAGCAGCCAGAGAGATAAAGAAATAAGTCTTTTTATTTAGAGAGCGAGAGAGAGAGACTGCACAAGGGTGCAACTAGAGAGAATAATTAAATAATTAGAGAAAAGTGAGCAGGTTCAAACTTTTATAGAGCTAGACGTTTTTACGCACTATTTACTGCTAGTGAAACCACACTACTAAAATCACACTGCTAAAAATCACACTGCGAAGTGAAAAAGATAAGGAATGCATTTTTTCCCTTAGCGACAACAACCAGACTGGGTCGATGCGTACAGCCTGGTACGGCGCCAGCGGCAAAGTTTCACGGCGGGAGGCTTTTTTGCAACGTTGCCACTGTGATCATAAAAAATAAATACGATTGTTTGGCTGTTTCCACAACATTCGGCCCCGGGTAGAAGTTTCCAACTTCAAGAAATTAAAAGAGATTACAAGAGGAGAATTATGAGAGTTATTAAAAAAATACATTACGAAACTTAAGAATTAAGAAATTAAGACAATGAGGAAGATTATAATATATCTTTTACTTAGGGTTATTATGAGGGGGCAATAAGTTAACACTTTCTGGTAAGGAACAAACCTTTGCTATTGAACGTGTGAAACTTCCATAAGATGTTTTAAGCTTAACAATTCTAACTTTTCCATCTGTGCCTTTGACAGTTTCAGTGACTCTGGCCAATGGCCACTTGAGCGGAGGCATATTATCTTCCTTAAGAAGAACGAGGTCGTTTTCACATATATTTCTTGAGGGCTGGAGCCATTTGGGGCGATTTTGAAGTCTATTTAAATATTCAATGCTCCAGCGCTTACAAAACCTTTGTTGAATCTGAGAGCACCTTTTCCAGGAGTTAAGTCTATTTTCGGGAGTTGATATACAAAAAACATCTTCCATAAGGTGCCATTTCAGACCTAAAATCTTGTTAGGAGATTTATCAATATTCATATCATATTCGTGAATTGTTTCGTGTGAAATTTTGTTTAAGAAGTCTCTAGAATTTGAACACCATTTGTGTAAACTAAAACCACACGGGTTCAAGAGGAAGTTCAGTTCATTATAAAGATCTTTCAATTCGTTGTAATCATCACAACCTGTCAAAATATCGTCCGTATAACATTGTGTCAAAATGGAATCTTTTGCTCTTGGGTATTTATCAGAATCGTCGGCAATTTGTTTTAATACACGTGTGGCAACATAGGGAGCGAAATTAGTGCCATATGTTACTGTCGATAATTCTATACATGCTAAAGGGTTATCAGGACTCTCCCGCCATAAGATATTTTGAAGAAATCTATGATCGGGGTTTATTTTTATACATAAATTTTTTGCACATCAGCCACCAGTGCAAACCTAAAGAGTCTAAATCGGGCTAAAATATCGTACAGATCGGGTTGTACTTGGAAACCTTTGAATGTGATGTCATTTAGGGCATAACCTGTAGAGCTCTTTGCCGAAGCATCGAAAACTACACGTAACTTTGTAGTGACACTTGATTCTTTTATGACACATAGGTGGGGAATAAAATATTTGTTTTCATCTAGGGAATTTCTTTGAGTTAGAGGAACATATTGAGCGTGGCCAAGAGAAACATATTCTTGTATAAATTGCTTGTAATCAGAAAATAGCTTAGGATCTTTTTCAAACCGCTTTTCAAGTGCAAAGAACCGTTTTTTAGCGATCATGAAAGAATCGCCCAATTTTTGATGCTCATTCTGAGATTTTAAAGGAAAATCCACTTGGTAAGAGCCATCTTCTAGTACCTTAGTAGTTGAGACGAAAATGTCTTCTATTTGTACATCTTCAGGGGAACAGACAGGATCTTCAGAGACTTTTTCTAAGTCCCAGAATTTTGTCAAAGCATTATCGAGTTGAGAGTTTGTGAACGGCTCAATTTCTTGAGAAAAATTACATGAAGAGAAGAACGAGTTATTTTGAGTATGAAAAGATTGACACTGAGATGGAACATTTCCAGCTATTATCCAGCCCAAGTGTGTATTCAACAATGTAGGGTAATTTGTGCCCAAATTTAGGAACTCATGAGAGAGTAAATTGTAGTACAAATCTGCACCGATAAGTATGTCAATGTCAGTAGGTGTATAGAACTTAGGATCGGCAAGCTGATTTAAAATGTCTCTTGGAATTTTTAGATTATCCACTTTAATGGGCACTTGAGGTAGCCTATGAGTAATATGGTCTAACACAGCACAGGAGAGTCTGAAACGTTTTTCTGGATTGACATTTGAGTACAAAAATACATCAATCATTTTGTTGGACAGTGTATTATTCTGAGCTATTCCTGATATATTGAGAACTCTATGATAGGGTTTCAGTGAGAGCTGATCAAGTAAATTTTGAGTAATAAATGAGTTCTGAGAACCATTGTCCATCAAAGCTCTAGCCTCTATAGGTTCACCTTGTTTAGTATACAGAGTAACTCTCGCAGTAGCTAAAAGTATTTGAGAATATTATGAGGAGGGTGCAGAAACCGAGGCAGAGACAGAGAATGATCGGGCTTGAGATTCTTGAGAAATGAGTCGAGAACCATTATTGTTTAAATTTGGCGAATAATTTGGGGATGAGATTAAATTTGGGCTCTGAGTTTGTTCCCAATTTACACTACTGGTTAGAGATTGACTTGGGAGTTGATCGAGAGCTTGATTGTCTTGGTGATTACGGT